TTACTCATATACATACATTATTATTTTATTCAGGTTGTCATAATAACAAACGTACTGTTATTAAGTATGTGCGTGTGTGTGTGAGGGGGGAGTGATTATAACTTTACAAAAAATCAAAAACGTACAATTTTCCAATTTTCAAAACATAATATAACATAGTTCGGTGGACTAAAAATACTCAGATGTGATATTGTGTGTTTATAGTTACACTTAATATTTGTACCTAGTAGTAGTAATGTTAGTAGTAGTAGTAATGGTAGTAGTATATTATTATTCGTTCAAAAGTTTTTGTTGAAAGCGTCTCTACGCTTGTTGTACACACGCACATACATGTGCCGTATAATATTTACATAATTTGTATATATTATATAATTCCTTAGTTCTCGTACATGCATGTTTGTGATTTCGCTTTCATGGTCTAATAATATATAGGTATATATCCACATTTGTATCTATACGTGTATAAGATTATTTCCACATCGTTTACGTCCGGTAATGCCTGCTGCAGTTTCCTCGAAATATAATATATAATACAGCAAAGGTGTGTCAAGTGCGTATGAGGGCGTGTGTGTGTATGAACAAGGAAACCATAAAAATAATGATTTCAAGTATAAATAACCATAATCAATAACAATATCATCACTCGTTTGTATAATAGTTATAAAAAGTTATACATGACATTTTATGAAAGTTTATCACTAATCATTCAAGAAACAATGTGTATAAATGTAAAACAATTTAGGGTAGGTATAAAAGAAATAATATATCATCTTATGTGACATTAAGTTAAATTATTGAAATGTGTTTAATTTTTACAATAAATTATGTTTATCATTTTTATATCAATTTATAATAAGTTTATAATTGACTTATTCAATTATTAGGTAATTTATATCATTAAAATTAAAATCATAATAAAATTCTAATTGAAAATTTTTACTAACACATATATAATACATATATAAGACAACTGTTACATTTTTGTTTGAGTTCACAATTGTTAATTAATATTTCATTAAACGCATGCGATTAACAAACAATTCCATGAAAGTTAGACTGCTGCCACGGAGGCATCTGATAATTTGGTTAAGTTCTGAAAACATAACATAACATTTTGAAATTTATAGGCAACATTTCATTATACATTATATTTTGTGCAACAATTAAATTTAATTGCGTACCACTATAAGTACTATAAATACCTTTAAGGTCCCCACACAATGTCACGGTGGTGATATTAAAAATCACTTACCTGAACATGTTGCAGCGGTAGCGGTGGTAATTTTTATCCAGTATAACCATAATATATTTATATATTACATAGAATCAGTGGCGCAACCAGGATTGGTTTTCGGAAGAAGGGGGGTGCATTTAGAAAAAAACAAGCATTTTCTGCGAGTGTTTGGAAGAATAAGGAAAATAAGGAAGTAAGATTAAGTTAAATTTATGAGTAAAATATTTAAATTACAAATTAAACTCTTTAAGTTCTATTTCATAATGTGATACCACAAAAAATAGTATTTTACAATCAACTATCGAGAAATTGTAGTAACAAGGTTATTGATGTTTCAAAATTGAATGGAACATTGCAAAATGTTCCATATTGTCATGCTATTATTGTTATCAATTATAATACGAATAATATTCATATTTCATATCAATCAGCCGTTTTGCGTGTTCAAGATTAATCATATTTTTTTCTACGTAGAATTTGTAAAACTTCAGAAAAATTTCGGGGAGGGACTAAAACCCCCAACACCACTCCTAGATGTGCCACTGCATACAATAATAGGAATTATATTCATATGTAATATAATTTAATATTTGATAAATTGACGATTTAACTATAAAGTTCGTTAGTATTATATTAATTATATTATATTAAGTACTTTAACTATTATAAATATTATATTCGTAATATATTATATTGATTATTTTTATACGAATTATTTTCAATCAAGTTCAATAATACACTATACTTATTATACACTTTACATGTTAATCACAACATTTATCTCAAATCAGTTATGACTAAACTAAACATATGCGTTGGGTTCAAATAATTTTGACTTGAAATAAACATTGCAAAATACGATTTCAATCAAACTTAAATTGGATCTAGATATGCGTGATACGCTTTATCAGAAAATGAAAAGTGTTATAATAAATACCTATGAATAGTTTAAACATTTCATTGTATTTTTTAAATCATACTTTATGCACCTTTAATACCTTCATATAAAATACATGGTATCCACTTACAAGCATACAAAAACAAATTAGTTAATAATGAATAAAAAATAGTAATTTTTAATTTCGTACAATTATACATATTTTCATAATCTTATAGTATAATATTAAACAATTTAAAATAATAATTAATAATACACGTTTTTTTGAAGTACTAACATTGATTTCAGGGAAAAATTAAATATGTCAATAGAAAATACCGCTATGCGTTGGCGGTAAAATCGAGCATGCTGCGGTTTTTAAAAATATCACGCTGCGATATTTTATCGCGGCCGAATAACCGCTGCAGTGTGCGGACTCCCGTTACAATACGTGGGTACAATTTTATCGCCAACGCCACCATGATAGTGTGTGGGGACCTTAATAGCTAGTCAAAAGAGTTTTGGTCCCAATATTATAAAATCATTGTCATATTGTTTTTATTGTTGTCTAGAAATCGTATGATGTATATTTTATTTAAATTCGTCCAATACGTAAAGTCACATAATATACATAATATACATAATATATATGTTATATATATTATATATATATAATATACATGTCTCTAGATATTGATACTATTCCGTTACCATTGAGAATATTTAAGACTCAGTGGTCCGAGAATATTTCGATTCTCCGTGATTTATCTGAGCGTGTTATTCGTTTAAAGTATGCAATAAAATGTATGATTTAACGGTAAATTATTGGAGACACTTTGGGTCGACTAGTTTTCAAAAATAGGTATATAATATAAGATACACACACACACACACACACAAATACATATATTATATTGCACGTTACTATCATGTAAATATATATTGTGTACAACTCGGTCTAGTGATTAAAACCGATAGTAGATAATTGTGTGTAGAATCGTTTTCCGACCACTATCAAACGGATACTTCCAACCTCCGACCCATCACTACCCGTTTATAGACTTAAAGACTGCCCACTTCCTATACAATTACGTGTGTACGTATATAGTACAACAGTACGTACATGGTACTACATATATACTGTTGCTGATTAATATTGTATGATGCATATATAATCAAAAATAGTATATAAGAGAATTGTATGCGTCGGCCATAACACTTATTCCAAATGTCAGTATCGGATAACGATTTGCACGTGCCCTGTTGTGTGTGTATAGCTCATACATGGTGGATGGTTTGCGCAGCTTGCAACACCAGGTGACGGACATGAGCGCCAACCTGACGACGCGGCTGGACGAGCTGCAGTCGCGCGGCGTGTCGCCGAGCCCGGCCGTCGCGTACTACGGCACCGAGCACCGCGGTCACGTAGAGACGAGTGTCGCGCTGTCCGAGATCCGGTCGCAGCTGCACGAGCTGACCCGGTCGTTGGAGTCCTGCCAGTCGGAGGTGACCGAGGTGAAGCGCGACATGGTGGCCATCAAGAACGAACTGGACACGGTGCAGCAAGTCAAAGAAGAGATCGAAGAGCTCAGGGAGTATGTGGACAGGCTAGAGCTGCAGTCTCACCGCAGGAAGCTCAGGCTACTCGAACAGGTCACTAAAACGGTCCTGTGTGTGCACGTGCAACGAAGTGCATGCGTTCGTCACGTTCAAACTTTTGTGCAGTTAGCTATTGATTTCTTAATAATCATTATTTATTATGTTATCATTACTTTCGTTCCAATACACTTTTATTATAATAATGCTTTTTTTCGTAGCAATATTTAGTGTAGTTAGCATTGCGTTCACATAGTTAATTTGTACACTTATTATACTCTTAGTTAAGTACGACTGTAATGGAACAATATTGAACCTACTGTATGTGTTTCGACGTTTAATTTAATTTTCAGTTATATTCAATTAAAATCGAATATCGTTCGAAGTTAAAACGCTAAATACATAAACAACAGATACAGTATTAAAATAATAGTATTTTAATCATCAGGTTAAATTAAATATTATACTACTATTGAAAGCTAAATTTCAAGTTATCGATAAAAATAATCAGTAGGTAATCAAATAATATAATTAAAATTAGTTATTATTCAGTAACTGTATAACATTATATTATAATGATTAATTGCTAAAGCCTGAACATATTTGTATAATTCAATAATCTTTAGAAACAGTCCAAGAAATAAATTAGTACTCTAAAAAAAATAAACTTTAAGTAATATATACGTAGAATATAAATATATCTTTCGAATTCCAAAAGAGTTTAAGTACATTTGCATGAAAAATTGTGTATAATTATGAAAAAACAATGACATACAGTAATCATCAGTGTGATTGAAAACTATAAGGTTCGAAAGAAATGTAACTTCTGGGTATCCTTATTATTATTACTAACTATTATAATGTAATTTCCCGAGTGTTCCATGAAATGTCTGCTTCAAAACTGAAAGAAAAAGAAGTTTTTTAATTTCATTTTTTTGTCACAATTTTCCCATGCCAGTAGAAAGAATCATACACGAGAATTAAAAATAATGAGTTAACTAGCAATTTTATATTATGCTAGCATATTAAATTATTAAAAATGTAAAATAATTATACTTTACGTAGTAAATAACTTTTTTGCCTATTAAATGTAAACTTAATACTATCGTCCTTATTTTAATAGTTTCTATGACATACTTTATTAATGTACCTACTGGTTTGAATTTAATTGAATTATTTAAATTAAATAAATTCACAAAATTTTCTTAAAATGAAATTGCCATAGTCTAGAACAAAATTAAGTATTATGAAATGATAATATATATAATATACAAAAAAATTATTCTGAACAACGATTACGAAATTATTTTAATTTATTTTTAATAGCTTAAAAACATATTAACATATATGATATGTGTATATTTTCATTATATTATATATTGTAAAAAATGTAAAATTTTACTAATTTTGTATGAATTTATAAATTTAAAAACACTAGTTTTAGTTTAACGTTTTATCAAACTATTTTTCTCACAGTTTTATTATTTAAATTTTACATTAGTCATAAAAATGATGTATTATTAATTTCACTTTTAGATTTCTCTGTGCAATGTTACGTTACATACATCATTATATAAGTATGTGTATACATCTTTTTTTTGTTTTCGCACCACAGGAAAGAAAGAAAGTAAATTTTATATGTGACAATAAGAATAATGATAGTGAATGCAATAGTATAATAGGCAGTATCGGATTAAACATTTGTGGACCCATAAGCAATTAAAATTAATAATACGGCACTAATAATAGTTATAGATACATCAGTCCTTCGCGGGCGAGATAATCTTCAAGAATACTGTAAATAATTGTCTTGATTTTCTTTGAAAAATTATTTAAAATTATATATTCCATAACCCATAATCTTTTAAATTTGTTTCTGCTAATAAAAAATTAAGAAGTCTTATATAAAATGGGAAAAAGTATAGTCTGAGTACCTATTAGCAACAAATATTTCATAACATATTTATCTCCTTTCCAATGGTTTAGTCAAAAAATATTGGTTAGTATGAAATGTAAGAAAAGTATGTATACTTAATACTCTATATATATATATATACCGGAAACAATAAATGTACTGAAAATATAATTGTTCAGTTTTTTGATTTTATACAATCAGCAAATATTATGTAGAATACATATTAAAAGATACTTCTATGATTTTTGTAAAATTTCTTAAAATTATATTATTATATTATAATATATTTATTTATTATTCTGAATTGTTAAGATATTCCTAAATTATTAAATGTATAATTTTAAATATTTTCTTATACGTTTATAGTTTATTATAAATTAAAACTACAAATATAGTCATAAGTTAGAGGTCAGTTAATTAATAAATGGTGTTTAAACGCATGTTTATTTACAATCAATTGTTTATCAATATTATTAAAATCAATATGTCATGAGCATTTGTGCATGTGTTTTTTTTATCAATGTTTTACATATTATTATTTAATTATTTAAGAGAACTTCTAAAACTAAGGCTATAGCCACCTGCTTGGTGTGTTGAATATTAAGAGTACAAAATGATTGTATTGGAATTCTTGTCTTGGAAAAATTAGTAGAGAGTGATGGTGGTGATGTTTCTTCTCTCCAGACAGTGATCTAGTCCGGAAAATACAGCCACATAATTCACGCTAGACTACGACATTCCAATTTATATATTATTATATTTTTATACTTTTATACTTATTTTATGCATGTATATTTTTAACTTATGCAATATCGAAATAACTTTACTAAACTATGTTTGAAATTATAGTTTGCTGCTATGTTTATAACTTATCGTTTTTTATGTAAATACACAATACCAACTAAATATTAAGTTTATAATGTAACATTAAGAATGAAACTTACTTGTGTTCTTGTCTAAAATATTTAAATTTTATAATTTTTTTTAATTTTGTAGATAACTTTATTATTTTATTTAAAATATACTCATATTACTCAGTATTTCGTATCCGAAAGAATAATTTGAGTTTAGTCGATAATAATTAAGTAGTAAAATAATTTAGTTTAAATATGATTTATAATTATTATTTATATTTTAGGGGCTTACGTTCTTTTTATCCTATACAATCCTGGCATCTATGCTGGGAATGCTTCAGTTCGGTTACAATACTGGAGTAATAAATGCACCAGAAGGGGTAAATAATTTACTCTTATAAAATTAATTATATAAATATTAAATAAATATTATTAATCAATTTTTATACACTTTTAGAACATCGAGAAGTTCATCAAAGATGTGTTTGAAGATCGGTACAAAGAAAATATGGACCATGGCCAAGCTGAGTTACTCTATTCATTCGCCGTGTCGATTTTCGCTATTGGCGGAATGCTTGGTGGCTTCAGCGGTGGCATTATTGCCAACCGTTTTGGCAGGTTAGTCAATGTCAATATATAATTATAATATTTTGTTATTTACAAAACATATTTCAATTTTTCCACTTAAAATATTACTTAAATATGTCGAAACAATGCTGTAAACACAAATTGTTCTGTTTCTTGTTCCGTTTTATATTAAGTAATGCATATTTGCGTTTATTTCCGTAAACACGTTCGTGGCTGTACAAAATCATGCCGAAAAATTATGATGAAATTGATATTCAACTGTTGATTAATGCAGTTAAAAATTACTGAATTATGGAATGTTATTAATAATTTTTACCACAAGTTCGTCAAATGATTTTACACTCATCCGAAGGTAGTTAAAAAATTTATCAGGATTTTCATGTAAATTTTCGAATAATGTGTAAAATATCCCTTTCGTGAATCTTAGTTCCGTAAATGGGTATACCCAATATTGTCTTTTTTTTTTTAAATATAGTTTTTGTATACAAGGTAACTAAAAATGTTACGTTTTCTTTTATAAACCTCCATTGTTTATGGCCGATTTCGTACTGAAAGCTATCGTCAAAATATATCGCGCCTGTGTCATTCATATCATATGTATATTGAATTTAACAGCGCCGCGCATTAAAATAACAAGAATATACATCGGACCTAAATATAATATATATATATATCTAGATTTACTATATGATAAATGGTATTCTTCCTGCTTGCCTATTTTCATTATAGAGTCTCTGTTAAGGAGTGTTTCAAAATAGACTCTGAATTCCTCGGAAATATTCTCCGGTCTTGTAATTAGAGTATCATTATTATCTTTTATTATTTGTGTAGCTGATGTAAATCTATTTTTGATTTTTTTGCAACGTTTGAAGAACTCTCTGGAGTTCTGTTTGAAGTTTTCGATGTCTACTAGTCGCTCATTTTCTGCTATTCTCTTGTTTTTCCTTATCAGTGAAGTTATTTCTCTTCATTTGTTTTCAAATTATTTTATGTTCTTGGATTCTCTTATATATGAATTGATTTAGTTCTAGCTTCATTACGTTCCCTGATTACTTCCTACACATTATCATTAAACCGTCCTTTATGTCTCTTCTTTCTAGAAATTTTGTCACTGTTTCTTGAAACATCCGTAACGATTTTTCAATTTATCCACATCGTATTTTCCAATAGATTTTTTTTTTTACCATTCCATGAAATTTTTAGTCTGTCAATCAGGATTAAGTAATGGTCTATGTCTACGTCTGCTCGTCTGCAACTTTTGGCGCTTTTTACTATCGTCTTATGTTTATTTTCTATGATAACATGATAAATTTGACTTCTAAATCTCACTCCTGTCGGTAGCCAAGTTTCTTTATGAATATTTTTTCTTGGGAATCTTGTACTGTTTATTACCATATTATAACTTATTGCAAATTTAATTAGTCTTAACCTATAATTATTGCTTTGTGTATGTAAACTATGTTTACCAATCGTCGCTTTGTATTTTCTTTTTCCACTTGACATTCATATCTCCAAAGAATAATTTAATGCAATGGTCTGGTAGGGCTTTATATATTTGTTCTAGCTTTTCATAAAATACGTCTTTTACTTCTTATTTCCTGATTCTTTCGGTGCGTATGCGCAGACCATAATAATGTATCGATGGTTCATATTAATCCAGATATAACATATTCGGTGATTTATAACCTTAAATTGATTAATCTATGGTATTAGACTTTTTTGCATGAGGAAAACTACTTCATTTTCATGTTTATTAGTCATTATACCGCTATAGAATAGTGTCACGTTCCTTGTTGGTATCATCCTTCACCTGAATATTTCGTTTCCTGTAATGTTACTAAATTTACCTTATATCTATTGTATCGACTAGAGTACCAACTACTCCTACTTTATATAAAGTTCTTACATTCCGTATGCCAGTCCTAAATCCTTGTAGTCCGGTCCATTTTTCTTGTGTTTTGTCTAAATCTATGTTTCCCGAAGCTTTAGTTTTGGTTTCTTAACAATTAGGATTTTTTTTCAGTGGCGGTGTAGCCCGTCACCCAATCCCCAACTTGGAGGACTAGACTAAGCCAACCAGTTAAGATTAGTTCAGAACTCGAGGCCCTGGGTTTGCCAAACCCGTAGTGCTAATTACTTTGCACCCCCCTAAGGGAAATTATATATTATAGTTACTATAAATAATAAAGTTATGTTATTACTTATAATTATTTAATTGTATTACACTTATACCTTATAAAATTTCATCTATATTGTTTTGAATTTGTTTATGGTTAAAGGAAAGGAGGCTTACTGCTAAACAGTTTTGTTGGCATTGGTGGCGCTTGCTTAATGGGTCTCACCAAGTATTTCAATTCTTATGAAGTACTATTTGTTGGCCGATTCATTATAGGAGTCAACTGTGGTATGATCATTAAAATTCGTAAATAGCATTCTAATAACGAAAAAAATAATTATGGAATTAATTTTTGTTTTTAGGTTTAAATACATCGCTAGTGCCAATGTATATATCAGAAATAGCACCGCTCAATCTACGAGGTGGTCTCGGTACAGTCAATCAGCTAGCCGTGACTACTGGACTGCTCATATCCCAGATATTGGGTATAGAACAAATTTTGGGTACAGACGAAGGCTGGCCTTTATTATTAGGTGAGTTATTTGTTAAACGATTTGTCTATTTGAATTTAGAATATATTTAACCTTTTTCCTTCTATTTACAGGATTAGCTATTTGCCCTGCCATATTACAATTAATTTTACTTCCGGTATGTCCTGAATCACCAAGGTATCTGTTGATAACCAAACAATGGGAAGAAGAAGCAAGAAAAGGTAAGGAATTTAAATTATAAATAGTTAATTTTATTATATAAGTATAAAATGTCTAATGCTAAAATTAATATTGTACATAAAATATATTTTTAATTTTAGTTAAAATTAATAAATCAAAATCTCAACTAAATAATTACTGTTTTCAAGCAAAAAGTCTAAAGCATTTGTATACTACTCTAATACCAAAATGTTATCTTTATATTATTTTCATTTTTTTTCACGTTTCATTGATAATTAATTTAGTCCATATAACATTTTCGTAAATATTTTAACTGAAAACATAAATTATTTATTACTTCTAACAGTACCAATTTAATTATAGTTTAGTTAAAACTTTAACAAAAATCATATTTATCTCTTATCAAATTCTAATTTTTTACTTTAATAAATAAATCTATAACTTCTCAATTTAATAATTTTTTAAGTAATTTGAAAAAAAAATTAGGAAAAAGAAATCTTTTAAATATCGAGCAAAGTGATATATTCCAAAGAGAAATATAATACAGACTGTATTGGTGTTATAATCGAATTTTTCTTTTTCTGTGATTAAATTTTTGATTAATAAATCTATACCTAGAGTTTCACACAGATTAGAAATTGGACACAAAGTGTATCAGCGTCTAGTTAGACTAGTCAACTTAGTGTGCCAATTTTAAATTTTCTCAATACAAAAAAAAATTCTACGGGACGAATTTTTTCACGGACATTAATCAGTGCTTTATTTGCTTATAGACACTGCTCGGCACCCAACATAATACTGTATTTTCACTCGGCCCTTATCCGGTACTCGGTTAATACTGGATTTTTTACCCGTTCAATAACCTGATGTCTGACCTGTTATTAATATTATACTTAATACTATTAAATAACTATGACACTTGTAATTATTAATTTATATATTTATTATAAAACAAACTTACACGTTACACTTTTATAATACATAATTATTTTGACTATTATCCTGCATGAAACATCATGACTATTTTGTGTTAATAATATATGATAAGATGTACACAACAGCTCATCATATATTATCACATGACCTATTAATACATTTTTACTCGGTCCTTCCTCAGTAATCAGCTGATAATCTGTGCATAAAATAAAAGTATGCACTCTTATTAATATAATAGGAAAAATTCTAAATAATGAATTATAATTTAATTTGGTACATTTATAATTAACAAACCAATTTACATAGCTGATTATTATTGTGAATAAATGGTGTTTGGTTCAATGAATTTGGAAAATAAATCCCATGTTTATTAATTAATTATAACCAGAGGCGCAACTAGGGGCGGGGTTTGAGGGTTGTAACGCCCCCGACATTTTTCTGAGATTTTTACAAATTCTACGTAAGAAAAAAAATGGTTTATCTTGAACATGCGAAACGGCTGATTGATATGAAATATAAATATTATTCGTATTATAATTGATAACAATAATAACATAATTGTTGGCGCGGCAAATGCTTACCAACTTTGGGCAGGCTAGCTTGTTCGCCTTTTAGCCAGTTATAAATAATAAATAAATAAATAAGGGAACAAATATAAATAAGTGGATTGTGTATAAAAGAAATAATAATAATAACAACAACAAAAATGATAATATAATATATTTAGTAATACACAATATGCGGCTGTAATAAGCCCAAGGTTAAGCATATTTAATAATCAATAATCAATATAATTTAGTATAGATATTAATAAATAGGTTGGTTACCTATGTAATAACCTACGTGCAGGAAATTCAGGGCTAAGGTGGAAACAACAAGTAGTTTTCACGTCTTAACATAATAATGCTAAATCGACAGTAAAATAAAGTAATATTAGAAATAGGCCACTTTTACGTCATTAGAACCCGTATGAATACAGGTTGAGCATTTAGCATTAGGCAGATGTAGTGATGGGCAAATACCCGGTAAATATAATTTCAGGTAAATACCGGGTATTTATAAATTGGATAAATTTATTTGTAATGCTAAAACCAATTTATGGGTATCACAATACTTTTTTATGATCGTTTCCTGACTCATATTTTTCCAAGTCTGATGATTAGAGTACATAAATTATATTTATGAAGTTTTTGTTAATTTTAATCACTTTGATACCAATAACAATTTTAATGGGAAAACAAATAAATCTAAGAATTTAAAAACCAAAACGCTTCAAATTTTAAAATGAAATTTATTTAATAAAAATAATTATGTTTGACAATAAAAAAAATATATTTACCCAAATTTTTGATAGGTAAATGTTATTGGGGGTAAATACCCAAAATAATTTCCTACTCTTCGGATATTTACCCATGGCACATCAGTAGGCAGATGTAGATAGGTAGTTCTAATAGACAGTGTTATACTGGCCATTTACCGTATTAATAAATTATTGCTCGTCGTGGACTTTGTTATAGCCACATCGCCGCGAATATATAATTCTTAGTCCAGAATAACTTGTTATTTTAATTTTTTGTATTTTAACCGTTTGTTAATTTATTGTGGTAAATTTATGTTTATAAATTTAATATACCAGTGTTTAATTATTCACCCATCTATCTTTCTCAACCCAACATCTCAAGATAACATACAACGTGCTATGTCGTTAAATAATTAATGTGGTACCGATCGTAGTGTTCTGCACAACGATCTCTAGACGGCCCACACGGCACACATAAATCAAATGACCTGTTAGCCAATAGACCCGTCGGTCTTCACACAATAAAAAATTGTGGTGCACCACCCAGTGGGGTGTCGAGATGAAATTTTTTTTGATGCCAATTGCAAAGTCTAGTTTACCACCCACCCATCCATACTTAAATTCATCTCATTCAGAACTCATAAATCAATATTTCTCTACCTAAATATCATAGGCGAAAATAGGGGGGGGGGGCTTAGGGGGTATTAGCACCCCCTATTTTACAATTAGCACCCTCGAATAATGTACGTGTTTATGTATCAAACACTTATTTTTGTCATCAGACATTTGACTTAAACTTATATTTTGAGTATAAAACTGTAATGAAATATAAATGAAAACAATGTTACTCGACAAACGTCAATTCCCATTTTGTCGAGTTCACCAAAACCCTAATTTAAATTAATTTTAAAACCGGAACCTTTATTTGTATTTATTAAAAATCGACTCATTAAATCCATATAGTTTTAATATAAATTAAATACCCAATAAATACAGAGCTTAAGCACCCTCAATTTTTTTATTGAAATTGCGCCTATGCTAAATATATACAATAATTATGTGATTTACATATTATTATCCAACAACCACCCACCCTTTTTTAACTTGATGCCTGGGCTTCATTTAGACCTATATTCGGCACGCCACTGGCACCACCTACCTTGTATAGCTATGATATGCTGCAATGCCGGAATCCGTAATTAATGATAAAAATTACTACAGTAAAAAATACAAATGATTCCGCACACTACAACACACCGCTAACTGCACCACGAAGAAATATTCACATACAGCTGCTGCAACCGGACCATACAAGACAATATACCACGTTTGTTGTGGACTGTAACGTTTATTTTTATACATAAATTTTTTTTTTTTTTGATTCTCGAATAGGAGTAATTAGTTTATAAAGAAAATGTAAATCGCCTTATTTAAATCGCAAAATATACTTTATTTTTAATTACGATTTCGCAAGACGGTGCCGATTACATCAATCGTACGCGACTAACACAAGTCATACAATACACTATAGGCAATATAATAATAATAATGTGTTATCGGTATCAGCTCGCATTACGTCTTTATCAAGAGCGAGCGAAACCAACACAAATTATAAATACAATATAATAATATAAAATAATATAATATCATGCGTCAACAACGTTTAGGCACTAAACAATGCAGTCAATGGTAACAAATTGAACACCATAGCGAGACAAAACAAATTAATGAGAGGCAAATATTCTGCGCGATAGTTACCAATGACTGATTCACAACAAAACCGCTAAGACAAAAACAAAATGGTATAACAAAAATAGCTGCAAACAGGAACAAAATTACAACAGGCGTTCACAGTTCGACGGATACGAACAGAAAGAAAGACGGTGCCGACGATATTTACCACGAAGGCTCTGGCCGCCGGACACCACAAAATGAAGATAAATGTCTCAGTGCCACCACACTACCCAAAAAACACGAGAACTTACGAAACATTGAGACATTGAGAACATAACTTAACTTTTACTGAAAACATAACCGAAAAACTCTTAAGACGTGGAATAACAATCATTTACGCCCGACGATAACAATGCGATTACGTACTCGGTCGGTCGCATACGGAGGCTTATCACCACCGCCAACGATGGCTACAGATACGCAACGCACCACTATGGATCGCACAAAAATGATAACACTCATTCCAAACAAAAAACTACTGTGGCACTAAACAATGATGATATGGAACGTCTTGTAACGTTTCGTTTAATTTTAAAACATCATTTAACCTTGCTACTACGATTTCTCGATAGTCGATTGTATAATATTTTTTTTTTTGTGGTATCATAATATGAAATAGAAGTTAAATAGTTTAAATTGTAATTTAAATATTTTACTCATAAACTTAATCTTACTTCCTTATCTCCACCAAGCACCTGCAGAAAATGCTTATTTTTTCCAATTTTTTTTCGGTTATTTCCATGTTTTTAGTAGTGCGTTTTCATATAGTTAGTTAAATTTTTAAGTGTATTTTCAGAATGGTGACTCGTTTTCAAAAAAGAAATATTATTATACCAATACATGAAAATGTTGGTTAATTTATTAAATTGAATTTAACTAATTCGGTGTAACTTTTAATGTGGGTGTAAATTAATTTCATCAAGTTCCAATGGTTTTTTTTTTACTAATTTTATTTAATGGTTGTTTGATATTGAAGATTGTTATTGGTTAACAAAAAGCATACAATTTTGACATGCAGACAACTACATGTAATTTTTATCATTTAATTTTAGTTAGAAAGATAAAACCAAGTCAATTATTATATTCGTTTCATTGTGAACCGCTAAGTACGATATAACTAGCAATAAAGAACATATAATTTTTGTAATAATATTGTAATTTATAGATTTTTACACAAACAACTATAGTTAAGGATTAGATAAATACTAAAATCTAAAATTAGTAATAAGTAGGGCCCGGCACTTGATGACCTAAAATTCTTAAAAAAATGTTAAAATGACTCATAAACATCAAAGAGTTACTTAAAGAAATGATTCCAAAAATACCAAAAATGGCTGACTATGAAATTTTTTAATTTTTAAAAGTATACGGTTTTTGATAATTACTTCATGTATCAAAAATAATAGTTAATAAATATTTTTAATAATTTATTTATTATTTTATTAATATGAATTTAAATTACACACATTTTTATACGCATTAAATATGTTTCTATTACACAAAAAATGTTAATTAAAGTTATATAGATACTTTTAATAATAAATGTGTTACACTGAACAATTTAAGTGTGCTTAATATTTTCAAATAAAAAAGATCGGTGATTGTCCGATTGTAAAGTTTTATAGGTTGAAAAATTACTTTCCACTTCCACATAAGTGATTGGCGCATGTTTGAAAAAAGTGATATCATCTACAATCAAATCTTTTAGCAAGCCTTCTTTTGTCATTTCTGTCCTTCCGATATTTTTTAAATAATCTACATTATTTTAAAACCACTATTTTTGCCTAAAACAGTTTTAAATTTTTTTGAATTTCGCGCCCAACTATATTTCGTGCTAGTTAAATTTTATTTTTTTCTTCTAGTATAGCATAGGAAAACCATATTTTTGATAATTCTAATCTGGTTATTGAATATGATAGCGATCCAAAGTTTGATTCAATGTAAACTAAATTTAATTCTAACTCTGGATCGGCGATCAAATAAATTACTTTTTCAATGGAAGTCGCATCCAGTGACGTAATTGTAGAGGGAGCAAGGGGGAAAGTGCCCCCTCTGACCATTTTTTGAGAGATAAAGGTATAATTTTGCCCCCCTCCTCCCAGATAATCCAACAGTACAAATAACACCTTTTATTAATGAACTCTTATGGATATTATTTAACAATATTGGTACCTAGTACATGCTACCTACAATTTATGTTTATCTAAACCATAAAATGAGTTAGAAGACTTATGTAAAATCAAACAATTAGATATAGTGTATAAAATACATACAATAAAAATATGTTTTGACTGGTGAGGGGGAGGTGTGTCAGGGTTTTAGTAATAATAAATATTTTATATTCGCATCATTTTTATCCAATTTCATGATTATATTTTTAATTGTACTAATATTCACACAATAATAAAAATCTGTTGTTAATCACGTTCCCCATCTAGTTAGCTCAGGTTGGGGGAGGGGGTAATGGAATATTAGGTGCTAGCTATTTAAAAATTTGTACTCTTGATGGAGTCTTCAAAAATATTTTTTACAGTTTGAAATAAGTTGATAGACTTTTGAAAAATTTTTCCGGATTTCTTCCACCCTATGTAAGGCATAAGACAATCATATTACATCCTCCGTTTTCGAATACAATACTTTTAAGCCCCTGGAATCCTCTAGCCGGGCGATAGGACACGAACGCAAAATATATGTTAGTTTTTTAAACATTTAGTTTTATAAAAATAATATGAAATAACATTTATGATAAGTAACACTTATCAACAACTTAATTAAATTTTCATTTAAAATGTCGAATCTAAATTTTAGCTTTGAGAAGGCTGCGTGCAACGAATCAGATCGAAGAAGATATTGAAGAAATGCGCGCTGAAGAACGTGCTCAACAATCCGAAGCTACGATATCTATGATGGAATTAGTATGTTCACCCACTTTAAGACAACCACTTATTATAAGTGTTGTCATGCAGCTATCACAACAACTGTCTGGCATAAATGCTGTGAGTAATGGGTTTTATTTTAATTTACCACTCAATAAATCTAACTTATGATTAATTACAGGTATTTTACTATTCGACTAGCCTATTTATAACTGCTGGTTTAGCGGAAAATGTAGCTAAATTCGTAACGATTGGGATTGGTGTGATTATGGTAAATATGACCCTCGTGACTATGCCACTGATGGATAAAACTGGTCGAAGGACATTACATCTTTATGGTCTGGGTGGAATGTTTATATTTTCAATATTCATTACGATATCTTTGTTAATCACAGTAAGTTATTACAAAAATCAACCATTACATTCAATTTAATAACCAGATATTTAATGAATAAGATTCTGAAAGAATTTCAAATCTAAAGAAAAAAGATATCAAAGTTACAATATAAATTATTGATATACCATAATATCAGAATTCAATAAATTTAGTGTTCAAAACGTTCACTTAAAAATTGAACTCATTTAAGTTCAATGAAAAAAATGAACGCGTACATATGACCGTTAATTTAATTTTTTATTTATTATGTATGAATCACCAACCTATATTCTGTATAAATAAGACCTTTAAAAATTAGATATATAAATTATATTTTACTTTATGATTGAAACTCATACTTAAACATATTATAATCAATATTTATTATTTATATATATATTTTTAAAATGGTAAATACATTTGAATGTTCTCAAAATTATTCAAATTCATTAAAAATATAAAAATTGTCCAAGCTTATGTTCTATTTGAAGAAAGCTAATCACGTTTGCGTGTCATTCACATAATATAAACATGAATGCGTACGTTACAAACACAATAAATATATAATTATGTTATTTTTAGATAGAAAATAATTAGGTATTCAACATTTTTAAAGTTTTGAATTTTAGAAAATCTTAAAAAAAATTTCAAAAATATTTTTTTACAGTTCATTCTAATATTTTTAGATTATATTATTTTATAATCTTAAAAATGTTAGACATTTTAAAAAATTAACATTTAAATATACTTTTATAAACTTCCAAAACTTATAGCAAAAATATTACTCTAATTAATATTAATAATACTTATTATCATATATTAATCATAAATATTTTAGAACCTCATCTAAAACATTACGTTATAACTATTATTTTACTATAGGAACTGTTCATCATATTCTACTTTAATTAAGTTAAGGCATGCTTATTTAATTGTTTTTTTGCTGCTTTATTAGACTTATTTGAATTTTATTTTGTTTTTAATTTTATATTAAATTATTATCCTTCATCTAATAAGTTCATATCTAACTCATTATTACCAATTCCGAATTCCGAAGAACCTATTGGATCCCTGGGCTGAAATTTCATATTGGCATTATTAACATAAAATGCTTTACAAAGTCACTTGCTACGCTCATAAGAAAATATATCTTTCAACAAATAACTAATTATATGATACAATTATAATATGCATGTAAATAGGTATATTCAGTAAAAATACGAATGGAATAATTGAAAAGTGGTCACTTCTCGATTTTCTAAATTGTAGTAAATACTGGTGAAACTCCTAGGTGAGACTCTACAGTGAATGGTATAGATTTGGATTTAAACTTCAATCCATAAACACTATATCATCCATAATCCACAAAACAAAAATGTTTATACTATTTTGAACAAAATGTGGGTGGGTAGGTAGGTTTGATGGATAACCAGTTACCGCCGCTGCTATACCGTATTAATTTTTTTCGTTCATCAGTTGTGCGCCCGAGTTTGATACGAAATAATCGTGTGTGTGTTGAATTTATATACAATAGCTCCAAAAAATACCCAGACGCGGATTCTCACAATATAAGCGTGTGTAATGTTATACAACTCTACTCAATAACAAAATTCCCCGTTTTACTACGATTAACGGTTTTCGTTATCCTCCATTTCCGACTGATTTACTGCCTCTCGATCCCATCTCTGAGCGATTAGTGTCACCGCGTCTTCCATTTATGCAAATTCATCGACTGCGTTTCATGCATGGTTCAAAAGGTATCGCCGGGCAAGTAAACAACATCGAGTAGAGGAGAATAGAGTAGACATTCCAGTGGACGTTAACACGAAGATTTCGGAACTACCTCGCCAACTGGATGACAATCATGCGTTCAATGTTCACATTAAACGACATTTAATTTAATTAATTAATCGACCTACTTAACGGGCTATGTGAAAAAGTTGGAAGTAAATATGTGGCTCCGATTTCTCGTCACTAAAACATTGTATCACATAAACGGAATTCATATTAACGAGTCTTTATACCGCGGGTATAATAATTCACCCGCTTTGATTCCCGTTTCTGAAGCAGAATCTAATACGTCTAGCAAACCTATGATCGAACCCATTCCCGAAAACCCAACGCACGTTTACCATCTCTTACTCTCGAAGCAGCAAACGTTGATGTGGAGTGAGGATAAGTATCTCGAGCTTGCGCTCGATATGAACAAACATCATCTTTCGCTTTTGTTCGACGAACATGCCGAAGAGCTCTTGTTCCCGTCCATTTACCTGGGTAAACCGCGTAAATCTACGATCTACGGCATTACACCGTATATAATGTCTACTAGCAAGATCCGTCGTTCCGATCATCGCGGAGTCAAGCCCGAACACTTTCTCTGCATGGCAATGAAAGTGATGCGAATGCAATTGACAGAAAGCATGTTTTGCACTTTTCAAAATAACGACAACTTAAAGAAGCTGACCCGCGAAAACGTCGAAGATAAGCAGTTTATTGACAGCATGATCGAGTGTAATCTGGCATTCTTAAAATCGATTCCCAATAGCGTGCGATATTGGATGGCTAAAAAAAAAGACGTGTTTGCGATGATTCGACAGCTCAGAAGTTCCACGATTTTCCTCACTTTAAGCGCAATTACTTTATAAATTTTAGATGGAAAAGGAATGGGCCGGCGAAGGTGATCTAGCCACTTCAATGAGAACTGATGTCAGCCGGACAATACTGCGAAGCGATGCGACGAACAAATCAAAGACGGCGTGATCTCGCACTCGAAGCTATTGATCGCATCTTTGCGGATGGTGAGCGTACACTACTACAGATTTTCTTAACTAGTCCCGCCGGTAGCGGTAAAACCTTTACAATGAAAATGTTAAAGGAAACGTACAATTGCTTCTCGCAGCATCACAACAATGCGTTCAACGAGTACGTTGCTTCCGCTTTGACTGGCATCGCTGCGTCCACGATCAATGGAACCGCGGTTCACTCCGTCTTTCGCATAAGAAATTCTTAAAAAACGACCAGGACCAGCCTTACCATTGAAGCGTTCAACTCATTTCGTGCGGTATTCAATAACGTTCGCATCGTTTTCGTGGACGAATGCAGTATGTTCGGTGTCGCTCTCCGCAGCCAATAAACTCAGGTTTACAGCATATACTACAAGATTACGAGCATCCGTTTGCGGAAATGGATATAGTATTATCTAAAGCCGCATCTAGAAATTTTTTTCGAGAGGGGTCCAAAACATGTATATTGTAATTTTATTGAATTAAGATTTTAACTTTTGATATTTGGTTAAAAATAAGACTGAAAAAGATTTAATTCCTTTTATTAAAATTAATGTCATGTTTTCATATGATATTATGATATAAAATTAAAAGCAGTTAATAATTAATTAGAGCTTAAGTCATTTTTGATTGAAAATATTTATATTGTTATTAAAAATAAATATTTTAAACATTCGTAAAATATTGAAGAAATTTCGTGGGGGGATCCAAACACCCTGGACCCCCCCAGATATGGTCTTATATTTACCTACGTCAACTCCCGCCCGTTTTCCAGACGCCGATTTACAAACGCCCGAAACAAAATTTCTGTTGCGAAATCATCTGGCAATCGCTCGATTACTATACACTCGTGCAAGTTATGCGGCAAGTTGACGCTGCCTATTCATCCGTGCTCACCAAGATCGGCTACGGTGAGCCCTTGCTTCCCGAAGAGAAAGCGATGATCGAATCCCGCTTCGTAGAACACGAATTCGTCGATCGCAAGTACCCTCAATCAATTCGTCTCTTCTTCCGCACGTATGACGTACACCAGTTTCCACTCCGAATCTATTTGTGAAGCCGAAATGATTGAATACGTAGCCGCAGATCGCTATACTGGTCATCATACTACTGAACAACTCGTTAGTGCCCGTGCAAAAGTTCGCAAGCTCAAACCCGACAAGACTGGCGGTTTACAATACATCCTCCGCCTCTACATCGGTAAATCGTACATGGTTACTGCGAATCCTAATGGTCTCGTCAATGCAACTACCAGCACTTTACGCTATATTGATCGCAATGCTGAAACGAGAGCGATCAAACGATTATGGTTCTATTTCGGTGATTCGAAGATAGGTCTCTTACAACGTATAAAAGCCTAACCACAAGTACTCGCCAATCCGAACCTCAATCATTCGTGGACACCGATATCGCAGCATACTTGCAATGTGCATACAACGATTTAAATCGTTACTTGCGAACGCACACGATTTTCACTCGTTGAAGCCTGTGCCATCAAATCGCTGGGAGGTACTTATGATACTATATCCTATATATTTCCGAAACATACTCGTAGATCAAACACAATGAACCGTACACGAATACCGAGTTTTCGCACGGCTAAGCGTTTCAAACGAAATACAATTCGTTTGGGCGGTGTCTCTATATGCGAAAATAATAATATGAGTTCTCCCGATGGATTATAATCGATCAAGCACAATTTGTTCAAGTTTAATCGAGAAAATATGAACGTGAATCGAATTACGATATTGGCGACATTTGTTCGATCGTGACGACGATAAATTGTAAACGAACTATACTTGTGACAGTTTACATCGCTCCGAATACACCATTTGAAAGAATTAAAGAATTTTTTGTCTTAAATCTAATGGCGTACAGTCCTAAATTAAAAGGAATATTTGAAGTGCTCGAAAAGTATATTAATGATGATTTACCCATGCTCGTTGGCAAAAACTTAAATTTGGACTTAAGAGGATCACACGGTACGGAATTTATCGAATTTATACGTACCGAACTAGGATTAGAATTAAGTAATGATCTCGCAACCTCTACCTGGCGCAATTCGACTTGTATCGACGCCGTATTTGATCGATACATCGAGCAACTTAAAATGCATGAGTACGTTTCGTATTTCAGTGTACACGGTCCTTTATTATCAATCATTAAAAGTGTTGTAAATAATGAATCTGTCGTTTAAATTAAATTTAAAAAAAAATTATATTCCATAAATAATTAACATGCTGTCTTTGAAACTTGTTTATTTTTTACACATATTAAAAAAGTTACCTACGGTTTAATCCTCGTCTCCTCGTATCTAATACCTAATCAACGTCGACATTTTTATACTATTAAATCTATTCAGTAAAAACAAGACATATACATATACCAATGTATCTGTGTGTAATATAGATACTCTGTTTTTTTTTTTTTTTTTATAAAAAGCCATCATTGTTGAAAAACCTCTATTCTAATAACTAACTTCTAATCATACTCTGATATGAGTTTATCTTTAATTAATTCCTATGCGCTACATTTTACAATGATTTTATAAGGTTGTTATTTATAAGTTTGCAATTATTTTATGTTTAGCATTATGCTTTTTAATTATTTTTTCTCTTTTATAATTACATCGTTCCAGCCAATATTCTAAAAGTCACGATTTTGTTATTTAGATACATTTTTTTTTACATTATTGTTTTTTAAACTTTTTATTTTTATTTTACATTTCGGAACTTTGGTGACTGGGAATTTTGGTTCGGAACGTTGAACTTTGTACTAGCGTCCCTTAGGAGTTTTTCGGTTTTGTGCAGGAAATGATTGACTGGATGTCATACTTGGCCGTCGTATCCATACTTGGATTCGTTGTGTTCTTTGCTGTAGGCCCTGGTTCCATACCATGGATGATAACAGCTGAGCTATTCAGTCAGGGTCCTCGGCCAGCGGCTATGTCTATCGCTGTCCTCATCAATTGGGTGGCTAATTTCGCTGTTGGCATAGGCTTCCAACCTTTAAAGGTCAGTTAATTTATTTTATTTGAGATGAATGAACATATTATCAATGCCTAACGCATATTCCGATAATAGTATGCTTACAAAATAATATTTCATTAGTATGGATTATAGAATATATATACTTAATACTTAATATATTTGCGTGTATATTTGTATAACTTTAATTACAGATATTTCATAATTATGAATAATTCATGAAATTCAATGAATTAATATATTAGTATTAATGAAATTATTATGTTTATAGTATTTTAAATAATTTAATTGTTTCTGGTATATGTAAATTAGTTCGTTTTATTTATGAAATCAAATCACAATTTTAAACTATTTATCTTATTTCCTATTTTATATAATATTGTTTTTATTTTTGGGTAGACTGCATTGGATAATTATACATTCCTACCATTCAGCGTGTTACTGGCAATTTTCTGGATTTTTACTTATAAAAAAGTGCCAGAAACTAAGAACAAAACGTTTGAAGAGATATTAGCTTTATTCCGACAAAACGGCAGGTAAGATATTTTTTAATAACTATAATATTAGTTTATTTGGTCTGACAATATTTTGGTAAAGGAAAAAATAACCTTAACGTATTAATTTTTCTCATACTATGTCGCTTACGCAGAGGAAGTGTCTTAGAATCAAGTCGCTTATACGGGTAAGTGCATGAACTGTCGTTTAAGTTTCTGTTCAAATATTTATGTATTTTTTATTTCATTTTATTATTATTTTATTTATTAATTATTTTTATTTTATTTTTTTGCTCGAGTTTACACCCTTCAGTATTTATAAACATTTCATGACGATATCGTGTCTTCGCTATTATTTAATATTTTATAATACCTTTAATTAATATATCTGCACTTTTCTTTATTACATTCTAATACAATATGATAAAAAAAATGTTGAAGCTTTGCATACACTAACAGAACTATTTAAAATTGCATGTATTATTATTTTTCATTGTTTTTAGATGTGTATATTTTTGAGTTATTCATTATTATTTGTTATTTTTATTTTAATATATTTTCAGTATGGTAGAAATTGAGGATAGTATTAACTTCACGTCTACGAGCGCTATATTAAAATCACCGGATACCTCGTTAAACATGGATAAACACGCTTCTTACAATACCAACAATCAATAAGATATTATTCATTATTTTTTTATTATTATTATTATTATTATTTAGTATTATTTATTTATTAAATACACTAGTTTCATTTAAAAATTATGTATTTTTTCTTTTGTACATCATTATGTTTTTTTTTTTAATTTTAAATTTTATTCAATATTGATTAAATTTTTAATTATGTTACGACTATTTTTGTATACCTACCAAATAGCAAAATTACTACGTGCCTATTTAAAAGAAACAAAAAAATACCGAGTGTTAAACATTGTTCACAGGAGTATGTTAAACTATTCAAACGCGTTAGACGAGCATTTACCGCCCTCCGAAAGGGCATCATTAATGGTGGCTGAGGAGAAACCTTTGCCAGACTCATGTAAGCTCATCGGTTTTTTTTTTTGTTATTTTTATTTTATATATTTGTATATATTTTTCTATTATATTTTTGAAGAGAATTAATATAAACCATTTTAGAAGTGCTACTGAATGATTATGCGTGTTTAATTATATATATATTATGTTTTAACTGTTTTATTAGCCTAGTCATAATCCAAATCCCACAAAATATTGAATATTTGCTTAATTTAAACACACACACACATATATATATATATATATATATATATATATATATATATATATATGTATATAAGTAAACACCTTGTTCATCCTTTTCTATGCTTTTTACTTTCTGTTTATTTACATAATGTTGCATGCTTTTTATTATTTATGTAGGTATCTATATATAACGTTTATTAGTATTTTATAATTATAATTCTTAGATAATGAATTTTAATAATATTTTAATAATCACTAAAATAATATTTCATAGTCACTTTAAATAAATACAAAATATTCTTATACTCTTATTTCTATGATATTTTACTTATATTGGTTTTAAAATTTTTATAATTTTAACTATCAATTAATATATACTGAATGTGTATTATAATTTTTAAAATGTAATTAAGAAATTAAAACAATGAATATAATTCGTACCTTATGGTTACGGCTTTCTACAAATCAACTTCAAATTATAAATTATATATTGTGATAAATAGCATTCGTTTAGGTATAGCGTTAGGCTTTTGTCTAAATTAACAAGCAATAGGAATTGTGATTAAAACAATTTATAATATACTAATCATTGCATTTAAATTCTAAAGACACACGTGCGTTTTAGACAATATTAATGATAAATAGTGATGTTACAACTTAAAAGTTTGGTCCTGATCAAAATGTAAATAAACTCGTTCTAAAAAAATACGATTTATATATTAACTACATTTTGTGACTATAACCCCACGGAAAACTATTCTTTAGTAATCCTATTACACTAAGAATCTATTTTATCAAATAAATATGGCTTCACATCAGGTTTATTTATCTATATAGTAATCTTTACTAATCATTACTAGTTATTAGTCATTGATAGTGTTAGTTAAATATACTGACTAAGTTAAACAAGTGCAATTTTTATTAAATTTAATCATACAATCTAAATAGAATATATTAATAGGATACTTATATATATATATATATAAATGTTTATACATTTTATAAAAATTATCACTTATTTAATGGCTCCCGAAGTCATTTTAAAATTGTTTAAAAAGTATCTAAATTAGACACGCCATAAAACGAATTTATTATTAAATTAATAAAAATATATTAAAGGAAAGAACTGAGGTTTCGATATTTTTGTACCTGTTAAAATTATTAGGTATGTTTATACATAACTGCATAACATTGATTTATATTTCCTAATTTTATATAATCTCACAATTATTGTTAAATTGTAAGAGGTCATAAATATGTTGGCACTATATTAAGTTTTTTCAAAAATTATTTTTGAACTTAAAATACTTTTACTTAATTAAAATCTAGAACCGAACTTATGAACTGTGTTATTTTTATATCTGATTAGAAATGTATTCGTGCATTTTTTATGGTTACAATCAATAGTTACAATTATTTCAGTTAATATACATATTTTTAGACATTTTAAACAGTAAATATTCTATAACAAGTGTTAATATATTATCAATGTAAATTGATGGTTTATTATAATCTCATGATTATTTTTTTTTAATGTAATATAATAAACTATAATTAAGTATAGGTGTTTCTTATTTTAAATTTTTCTTTTTATAATAGTTTCTTTGTTACTCTCAAATATTAACTTGATTTTATATATTATATTGTCCTATGCTTATATCATTAATAATTTATACATATTATATATTAACTCAAAATCATAAAATATTAAGCATTATATAAAATACCAAATTATATTTATTAGGTATTTTCTTTATTAAAAACATTTTGTATTTGTATTTTTAGGCTAATTGAAGACCTGGAGGGCAACAGTAGGACATCTCCAATAAACTAAATTTTTCAGAACTAACAAATAACTATTTTAAAATTCAAACTGTAACTTTAAAATTTAACTAAAATCATATTTTGATTTAATTTTAATGATTATAATAGAGACTAATACTTAAATTGTAAAAAAAAATATTAAAATAGCCAAAAAAAAAAAAAAACTTAGGAGATGTCTGGTTGTTGCATCGTTATATTATTGACAAAATTATATTTTGATAAATATGTAATATTATTATTATTATAAAATGTTTCTATTAGATATATTGTTTAACTTAATTTTATATATTTAGGAATGTGTGTGTTCCAAAATAATAAGAGTTTATTATTATTATTGATAAATAAATAAATAAAACTTTTTATCAGTGTATTTTTTCATGATAATACATAATATTTTTAAACAAAATTTCATTAAACAAAATATTGAAATAAAATAACTTATGGCTTTAAGTAACAAACAATGAACAATAAAATATGGTAAGTTCCACGTCCACATATTACAAACAAGTTTATATAAAAACAAAATCAACAAAATATAAATGAAAGTAAAATCTTTTAAAACATAATAATACGTTATTTGGTGGTATACGGCTGAATTGTTTACATTTCCACACTGTCTTTTGATAAACTAATGTAATTTTGTTATTTGTTTCATGGCCCATCTACCTGTATACAGCACCAGTACAACACTCTCCGACGGACCCGGAGGTGTGTGCTGTATGCGTCAACACTGGCAGTTCCCTCATGATGACGTCTCCGAACGTAACTCGCCGGTCGAGTCACACGCTCAGTAACCACGTTTGCCAAATGGACTAGACCGTCACGTTATTCTAATATTATATAATATAATAATATTATTATTTTTTTTTCTTTTATTATTATTATTATATATTTTTTTTTTTATTCTTAATATTATTTTTATGGTTATTATTATGATTATTACTATAAATATTATATTTATTATTATTATTATTATGAATAATAATAATAATAATCTAGAACGAAACGTTGTTGTATCAACAAAAATATTTAACAAATATTTATAAATATACATTATAATAATAAAATAGAGCATATATTATACGTAAGGCTTACTCGTAAGAAAATTTCGATCTTTTTTTATTATTGCTTATTTCATATACTCGTATTAATTGTTCGGCGTAAAACAATAGTCAATCGTGTGATTTGAAAAGAATATAATAACAATTATACTACATAATATAAACTCTGTATACCCACAACGACGACATAATCGTGTTAGTTAAATTGTAACGTGTACCGAGTACCTTCGTGTACAATCATTCATCAATATCATACCAATTATGTAGGTAGCCGACCTTTCATTGTACCATGAAAGACCCGTACACCCGTTGGTTTTAATTTCTGTGTACCCTCAATCAATGTCAGGATCGATATTGTCCACATCCCGACGTTATATTCATTAAGTGCCTGTACCGACTTACCGACCGACAGTGTACGATATTACTAATACCTTTCTCATAACGATATTCCAATTTTCCGTATATAAACCATCAGTTTCTCATTTATTCATGGATTGAGGTGAAGGGGAGGGTGAAGAAATAGATGCCACTAGTTGGTATAGATGTACAATACGAGTATTACGTTGGGTGGTAGGCGCACATAAAAAGTGCACAGAACCCGTGAACGATGTTTTTAATTTAATTTGAATCTACATTAAACATTCTTATTTTTATTCAACTTTTTACTTGTGATAATGTTAACGGTACAATACAAGGCTGCCCAATTTATTTTAAAAACTGGCTATAATATCAATTACATTTAAACGGTGGACCATCTTATAAACATTACTTGCTTTCAATTATCATTCACCAACACAAAGATAGTTAAATATATAGGTATTTAAATCAAACAAAGTTTTAAATTGCACATGTTTTAATAATTTAAAAAAAATGTAAAAAATATATATATATCAATGATGCTTATGAAGGAGCTTATAATTTTAAGCTTAATAATTTTTCAATATATTTTGAACCAATTCTGCTCAAAATCTGCAAGGCAAGATCATACGTTGCAGGGAAGTCTTCCTTTGGTACTCATTTGCAAAATGTTATTACATTTTTTGAAAAACGCTTTTGTGAACCGTAACAAAAGGCGGGTGTGGAACGACCGGCTGTAATCGGTTTTTTTTTATTTAAAATATTTCGAATAACAATTTACTATCTTATCCCACCATGACCATGTCTATAAACATAAAAATAATACCAATAAGCTAGCGAAAAATATGCATATAAAATAAAATACACAACTAAGTTAAATAAAGTAATAATAATAATTAAAAATACAATAGAATGTTCGTGAGCGAATTAAAATGCGTTAACGGGCCTAGTTTTGGACAGCCTTGGTATAATATGTATCCATAAATATAATTTTTTAAAGTTTATTTCAAATTTGGAAATATCAAAAAAAAAATATTCAATATTTTTACTATAGTAAATTATATTACGAAATAAACTTTATATTCAGAAAACAGATTTCGCATTGGGCAGAGTAGGCAACTACCTAGGATGGCAAGTATTGTTATGCTTTATTAAAATACATCATTCGTATAAAAAAAAAAGTAGAAAATCCCTTACTTAATATTTACGAAAAATAAAGTAGGTAATATTTAATCTTAATTGTCTAAACAATGATTCAACGGTAGTCCATAAAAATGATGATTGTACCTACTTTTTTTTATTAAAATGTGGTAGACATTTATTGACATTTTTCAAAACAGACAAAATAACTAAAAGCAAGAAAAAAATTATCTAAAAATTCAAATGGATTAAACAGCTATTATATTTAATATTTGAGGCCGGAAACTTTTAATACCTATATCCATAAAAAAGTAAATCCACCTCTGATTTTATTCCATTTTGTAACGCTATTATGAGACATTTATTTCGCTTGATTTGGGTCCCACGTTTCAATAAAAATATATCATACTAGTAAATACAACCCTCCAACATTCGTTTTCATTAAGTTTCCACATAAGATTAGTGAATAATATTGTATGCGATTACCTACTAGTGTGAACATGTTGAATCAACTCATTTCCTATTTCCAAAAATAATTACAACCAGACCTATATTCAAGCACCAATTATTAATTATTAATTTCAACTAACCATTTATTAATGGATTTATTAATGGATACGCTCGCTTCTTGCGTACAATTTACTCAATCGATTTACAATCGACTTAAGGGTTTTTGAAAATCGCAATATTCTTAATCAATTTATTTATCTTCTGGACAAATATACTTCAAAAAATGTTCTACAGCCCAAGATAAAAGCGTTCAATCCGATCCCACCTGCTTACTTTTATTTTATTTTTTAATCATGTTTTTTATAGCGAATTCTTTTCATCGTTTTTAATTCTGAAATTCAAAACTCACAACGTTATTACTTATGTCTAAACATGAACATAAAGAAATCGAAAATCATGATGAAATATTTTAAGTAAAATCTGGTTGTAGTGGATATTTGAAATATCCTAGATTTAAAGTTAATTATAAGAAAAAAGTTAATATGTACAATTAAAAACCAAACTCAACAATACTATGTCTATATACAATGTATCGCTTTTATTTTTAACAAAATAGGAATGTTCTTTGTAAATATTGTTATTGTTTTATTGAATATTTATACATTTTGTTCATTTGTACATAAAATCAAAACAAAGCAATTATTTGTAATTGCAAACAAACATTTAAACAAAGCTCATGATGACTGAGAAACTGTACTATTAATTATTCATTAAGGACGAGGAACTTACAATGTTTTTCCCTAATAAAATACCTATACTTTTTTTTAATTTTCCAATTAATTAATTTAAAAATATACATATATTATTATACTATTATATAATCAATTTTGCAATAATATTGCTTAAGAATATTTAAATAATAAAAATATATTATGTTTTGTAACTGCATAATAATAATAATCCAATTTGTTTTAACAAAAAAAAAAAAAAAGACAGTAGTAAATCAAAAATTATGACCCTTATTGTTATTTTTTTCAATTTGTTATTGAAAAATAATACAAAGTTATTCTAATTACTAAAAAATTTAATTCTAAAATTTTAGATATATATTGTTGAATTTTAGTAATTAGTATTCATCAATGTTTCTCGATGTATTATTTTTAATAGAAAACAAATTTATAAATATAAATAATTGTATATATTATATAAAGAGTAATATTTCAAAAAAAAAAAATTTAAAGATTACATAAAATGATGTAAAAAATTTGTAAAAACCTATTACAATAAAGAAGTTTTAGAAAATGAAAATTATAATAAAGTTAAAAAATGTTTTATTTTTTATATGTAATACCATATTATACAAAATATTATGTTAGAAAATTAAATTTGAGCAAATAAAAATAAAAGTATGTTTAACTATACTATTTTATTTACTAGTAAATATACACATATTTCTAACAAAATATTCAAATAAAAATGTTTAGTCAAAAATAAAAATCAACATTATTGTTCCTTTCATAACTAATCAAATGCATTGACTGAACCGTTTTTACTTTTTTGATTATTGTACTATCAAAAAATGAGTATCAGGAACATAGGCAATTTTTATATTCAAATACAACCTATGTTACTAATCAATTTTAAAGTTATTAAATTAATCTTTTATTTATCAACTTGTTTTGCTTACAACTAATTTTTTTTCTTCTAAAAACAAAAATATGAATAAAATAAATACACAATACAATTTTACAACACATAGGTACATAAAAATATCAAACATAATAGTGTTTTGAAATTTACAAAACATAATAATTAAAATATAATGACATAACAGATTAAGTTCTAGTTCAAATAATTTACCTTATATAATTAAACACTATTTACTATGGAGTTTATCTGTTTACCTAGTGAAGAATGACTTTTATTTACCAGTTACTATTGTAATTAACCCTCATTCAAAATTAAGTGTTTCCTTACAAATATTAATTATTTCTATGGGTATCTGATGTTTAATTAATGTGGCTTAAATTTAACAACCTCAGAACCACTACAAAAAACCAGGAAAAACATACACAGCACACATATTAGGTATAATATGTTTACATCACTCTTAACAAAAAAAACTTATAAATCAAAAATAAAAAAAAATTGAAAAAAAGGTTAATAGTTTTATATAATTTAAGTGTAAAAACTAAGCAAATATATAGGTATTTGATCTTTTAATTAATTATAAAATATATTGTACCGATTATAATAATTTATTAAAATATAAAAAGCGTTTAAATATGAAGGATATGTTAACATATGATTACATTTATACAAGTTTATACTAATAGATTTAAAAATTATAAATGATAATAAATAACATTAAGGTAATCAAAATAAATTCCATAAGGACAAAAACTATTAATATTGCTATTCAGAACAGATATTTTTTGCATTACATGATATTAAGAACATTTTCAGAGCGTTAAAATCATCAAATATATAACCATTTACATTTGGGTATTTTTTTATTATATTTTTATCAGTATGCACTAAACATGCTGACCATCCAGCATCTTCAGCACCTTTAAAGTCAAATAAATATGAATCTCCTATGTGCAAAAACAACTTTCGATTAAAATTTAATTGATAGTTGACATATGATTCAGCTTCTCTGAATATTTGAAAATTAGGTTTTTCAAACTTGGCTTCATATGAAGACAAAATAAATTTAAAATAATGAGAAAGACCAAGATTTTTTAACATATATTTAATTCTTGGATCATAATTAGTTATGACTCCCAATGTTATTTGTTCTTTATTTAAATACTCCAATAACTCTATAGCTCCATTCTGTACTTTAAACGTTTCTCCAGTACTGTATATAATCATTAAGTCATCAATTATTGCTTCCAAAGGTACATTGTCTGATATACTTTCTATATGAAATGCTCTATTAAAAACATTATGAGCATAAGTTCTCCAGTATTTTTCCCATCCAAGACCTGTATTGAGGCCAAAATTTGGATGTGTTTTTGTCATGAATGTCCAATTTTTATTAATCAAATCTTCAAGAGTTGACAATTTGACTTTTACTCCATATTTTTTAAGAACATTTGAGTATTCTATAGCAGGAGAACTTCGATATTTAAGTAATGTACCAGTTATATCAAATGTTATTAATTTAAATGCTTGACGATTCATTTTAAATTCTGAAAATTATCAAACAATAATTATTAGTTTTAGTTACAAAATACATTCTTTACTCTATGCAAAATACTCAACAAGACCGTTAAAAGTTAAATAAATAACAAGGTTTTAATGAATTTTATTTTTTTTTAAATAACAAGTAATAACCTATAACATGAATTTCTGAATTTAATATTATCCCGATTTTGCTTTTTTATCTGAACTTTCATAAAAACAGTATCTTAATAATTAATTAAATGATTAATTTAATACAACATGTTGATAAATTATAATAACTTTAAAACAAATTAATTTTTTAAGATTTTTAAAACAGATTAATAACATTTTAAATTTTTGATAAAAAATTAAGTTGATTAATACCTATATTGTAAGCTTTTCAAATATAATTCATAGATAAATTGATACAAATTAGGTACAAATCTCACCTTCAATTTAAAAGGTTAGATTGACAAAATAATAAAATCATATGAGTATAATCAAAAAATACATAAGCACCAGTTGTGACTAAAATTTGTGTCTATAGATACAAATAAATATCAGGAATAACTTAAAATATGTTAATATATAATAATATAATGTTTTTTTTTTGTTTTTTTTGTGATAAGTACCTAATAAGAAAGAGATTAAGTACAATGTGTAATATAAATTTGTATTATCTAAAAAATACAAGAAATATATAGAAGAAAACCTTGGCAGAGTCCTCTTGCAGGATTTGAATCACATAAAAGTAATTAAAAAATATAATTCTTCAAATTATATTAAATTTGATTTAATGATATATTTTTATAAAAATATATATTTCCTTATATATTTATTATGTTATTGCTGAAGAGATTTCTATATCACTTTCTCTTGAATTACTTTAGAGGTTTTTCCAGAAGACAAGAGAAAAGAGAGTATTAAAAAGATAATTTTGTTATCTATTGTTAACATTTTTAACAAATTATTGTAATTTGTTAAACTATAGGGTTATAAAAATCATAATGAATGATTATATTTAAGATACATAAAAGAGGGAATACAACATAGAACCTTACAATGAAAGTGTCAGATTAAATTTAAGTTAGGAATTAAACTGAATATCATAGTTTAATGCCTTATTATGATAGGAATTAATAATAGTAGTTTATTATTAATTCAAGAATTTTTGTTTCTAACATTTTTAACATTTAGGTACAGCAAATTAATTTTTTTTTTTCAAACAAATCAAGAAAAATAAAAAAAAATTAATAATTACTATAACACAATTGTGTTCATTGCAGCTTGTGACAATCATTAATCACCAGAGTTGGGATTTTACAGCATTTAAAATTGCATAAATATGCGCTATAATATCACCTTAAAAATTGCTGAATAAGCTCTAAAAATATGCAATGAAAAAAAAAAAAAAAAAATATATTATTTAATAATTTACGAGTACACGAAACGAATATGGATTGTATAAACTAATTCTACTCTCGCTCAATGATAATCAGCTATTAGTAGATTTAGTAAAAATCGACAAAAAAAAAAACCAACAAAATCAGCAGATAACAAATATTAGAACCAAATAACTAAAACGAAATTATTGTATTATATTATACCTACTTATATATTATCGCTGTAATTGTACAGAGTTGCATCAGCGTAATCGGTCTATTTACTTAATCTATACATTTATAATTTAATTTAAAATTAAAATTTTGAATCTTAAAAATTGGATTAACAAAAATAAAAAACACGTTTACCAAAATACAATTTCATAAAATATGCCTGATTTTGATTAAAACACAGGTAATAGGCAAAAAAGGCTTAAAAAACCCAAAAGAAACACTTTAAATTAAAAAACACAAAATTGCAAAAAAAAGCAAAATAAAATTTTTTATTTGAATTCTCTGTATCATGAAACACATTTTTAGCTTACTCTGCTATTTTTTAAGCATCTCATAAGAAATATGCAATTGTTCTAAAATCCCAACCCTATTGATCACTATTATCTTATCAATCACAATAACATGTTCATTAAAGTGATTGCTACAAATTCTATAAGAAATCAAAACATTTGAAATGGAACATTTGTGTCCATCCACAAATTTCTGACCTCTTCATCTGTTGGACACCTATTTTATTGTTATTTTTTTTTAATTATATTACTACAATATCTATTAATGTTTAATGTTTTATTATTTACTTGCGCAATTTTATTGGAGAATAATTGTCATTGTATCGTCGTTTACAAAACGGAATGAGCCATTTGTAAACCATATTGAAAAATTATTAAAATAACATTATACCTATTATAAAATACAAATATCAATGGTTAAAAATTCAAAACCAGTAATAGTCGGAAAATCAAAAACAGCTGATGTTTAATAATCGTAAACTCATATTATACATAGATCTTTTATGGTATACACAATAATTTTTATATCGTGCGTCAATTATCATAAAGTTGCCAGTGCCCTCTATCATGTGTTAGATTTCAATTCATAGGGCTGGTCTATGAGTATAAGGAGGAGCGTCTAAAAACAGGAATACACCTTATGCATGCTGCGCATGCGCGTAATTTATTCACCACTATCATAATGTTAAGCGGCCCATACACGGTCAATAATATAGATTAATATTCGATATTGTCAATAATATTGATCGTGTATTGGCAATATTGAAAGATTGATCAATAATATTGAACAGATTAAAAATATTTGATTTTTATTGACGTACTGTCAATAAAAATAAATTAATAAAATAAATTTGAGATCTTCTAATGTGTTACCAGTGACTAAGTAACGCGGAGTCAAGGAAAGTCTTTGGCTGGCTGAAATCGATTTTCGCATTATTATATTTTGTTTTTTTATTAATGAAGTAACTTAAGTTAAAAGTTCATCATAGCATGACTCGTTCATTCTTAATAAAAATTCAGTAGTCTTCAGGTTGGTTTAATCATAGCTCAGATAACAGATTTTCACAATTATACTTATATCGCTTTTGCAATCTCTCATTAGCCCAAAACCACTACTTCCATTTTTTCTTCCTTTTATCAAGAAAAGAAATGGCTAGAGCAAGAACTATTATAGTATTGTCTAAATTATCAGATATAATTGTTTATAATTAAAATGAATAAATTGTTTAAAGCAAGTTTAAATCTGATTTACTATTTTATAACGGACCTGGTAATTTGATAACGATATTATGTTTAAAAATTTTTCAATAATATTGACACGTTGATGGTCATCGTCAATGTTCGTCAATATTTTTTCAATAATAATGAACGTGTTTGGGTCGCTTTAGGCTGTTATTTCGACCATATAACCTATAGTTAACTATTCGCACATTTCCCATATTTTGTTATGCGCTATTATTAATTGCATTTTATTATAATACTTTGAAATGTAGCTTGACAGCTCATATATAGTATGTGTTCGTGTTACCCTCGGGTCTTAATCATTTCTTTCTAGATTGTTCACCCGATTTCTACTATTCATGATTTATGTGATCTCCCCTATGTATTGGTAGTTGTAAGGACCTACATTTATGTATGTCCGTAACAATATATTGATAACAGCCCATAGAGTAACTTTTGTAACAACCTTTCGACCATATAAACTATAGGTTATATGGTCGAAATAACAGCCTAAAGCGGCCTAAACACGTTCAATATTATTGAAAAAATATTGACGAACATTGACGATGACCATCAACGTATCAATATTATTGAAAAATTATTAAACATAATATCGTTATCAAATTACCAGGTCCGTTATAAAATAGTAAATCAGATTTAAACTTGCTTTAAACAATTTATTCATTTTAATTATAAACAATTATATCTGATAATTTAGACAATACTATAATAGCTCTTGCTCTAGCCATTTCTTTTCTTGATAAAAGGAAGAAAAAAACGGAAGTAGTGGTTTTGGGCTAATGAGAGATTGCAAAAGCGATATAAGTATAATTGTGAAAATCTGTTATCTGAGCTATGATTAAACCAACCTGAAGACTACTGAATTTTTATTAAGAATGAACGAGTCATGCTATGATGAACTTTTAACTTAAGTTACTTCATTAATAAAAAAACAAAATATAATAATGCGAAAATCGATTTCAGCCAGCCAAAGACTTTCCTTGACTCCGCGTTACTTAGTCACTGGTAACACATTAAAAGATCTCAAATTTATTTTATTAATTTATTTTTATTGACAGTACGTCAATAAAAATCAAATATTTTTAATCTGTTCAATATTATTGATCAATCTTTCAATATTGCCAATACACGATCAATATTATTGACAATATCGAATATTAATCTATATTATTGACCGTGTATGGGCCGCTTAACATTATGATAGTGGTGAATAAATTACGCGCATGCGCAGCATGCATAAGGTGTATTCCTGTGTTTAGACGTTCCTGTATAAGGTCTATGTGAAAAAATCATGATAGTAATTGATAACATATTTTTAGGTTATGTTGGATACATACTACATATTCAACTTGTCATTTCAAAATAAATTATTCTTAAACTATCTACATTTAATTGGTACTGTTGTACTTAACTAATCATTGTTTGAAACATTTTTTCGTAAGTGAATTAATTCGATAATTTTAAAATGGATACAGTTATTGATAGAGGTGCGCCAAAAGCCAGAAATTTTGAACCGTACGCAAGTAATGGAGGGTAAGTTGCTAGTAAAATGTACATGTTACTGTCACTTTTATTGATAACTCTATTTAAATATTTTTAGTTCAATCGTTGCTATTAGCGGAAAGGATTTTGTCATAGTGGCTTCTGACACTCGTCTTAGTGAAGGTTACATGATTTATACGCGTAAACAATCAAAATTATTCCAGCTGTCCGACAAATCGGTTCTTGGATGTACAGGATGTTGGTGCGACACATTATCACTGACTAATATTATTCAATCTCAATTGAAGGTAATTGTATGTTCATCTTAGTAACTAAATAATATTAATATTCACTTTTTTCAGTCATATTTGCATGATCATAATACAATAATGCAACCAGGTTCTATTGCCCAATTGCTATCCACTTTGCTATACAGCAGACGTTTTTTCCCATATTATGTATACAATGTTCTTGCTGGTCTGAATGAGAATGGTGAAGGTTGTTTGTACAGCTACGATCCTGTTGGCCATTGCGAAAAAGTATCTTACACGGCTGGTGGTAGTTCTGGTGTTCTCATGCAACCATTTTTAGATAGTTGGGTAAGTCAAAATTGTGAAAACATATGAATAAATATTTTATATGTATTTTATTAATATATAACACTAAGTACTGAAATATTTATTAAAGAATCAATTATCTACTTTAAAATGTATTTTTTTTAACTGTTACAGTATTTGTATCAACCTCAAAAAAATATCTAATCATTTTTATTATTGATACATTTCAATTAATTATTCATATTTGTGATTTTCATAGATGTACAAATTTGTGTTTATTTAATTTATCAAGGGCATGCCTTAGGGGAAGAGTGTTCAAACATCCCCAAAATGTAAATGAATTTATTAAAAAAACTATTCTTTAATATAATTATAATTTAAGTTTAATATTATAAACATTTGCTTGGGTTATTTTTATAATCCATTGTCAGTCTGTATATTTCTATAAAATTAATTATTAAATTAAAAATATTGAACCGTCTCCCCTCCCCTGGAAAAAATGTCAGCATGCCCTTGTAACCTATGACCATTCATGCGGAGCAACAATTTTTATTAGTTATAATTATAAATAGAATAATTTTAATTTAAATCAAATTGGATACGATACTAGCCATACTTAAAGAATATATTTCAACTGTTTATTAAGTTGGGACTTACTTTTTACTGGATAAAAGTAATACCGAGAACTGCACAAGAGGTGATAAGTTGTATAACAATGTGTATTCATTTATTTACCTAAATTAAATCATAGAATATTTAGTAGATTTTTAATCACTGAATTATTATTATTGAATCACTAATTATCAGTTATTTTGTAGTCAATAAATGTGGACAAATCATCTACTGTTTATTCATCTTAAATATCTGCCGCGTGTATTAGATGAAGTGCAATTAAAATAGTTTTAATTGATAATACGTTTAAAAAATTTCTTAATCAGTATTATCAGTGTTGACTTTTTTTTAAATATTTTACTATAAATATAAAAGTTAATATTTATTAGTACTTAATACTATATATATAAATATCTAATATTAGGAATGTTGTTTATTATTTAAATTTTTTACATTTTATCAACATTTAAAAAAAATGTCACCATAATTTCATTATTTATATGAATTCAATTAAGCTTAGTCAAATTAGCATAATACTTAATAATTTCATGGAATATAATGAAAACTATTTTCAGTATGTTATTAAATTACACTTAATTTAGATTTGTAAAACTATTACAATTTAAATAACACAATAATCTTGTTGCTGAAGGCAACTACTCTATTTAAAGTCTCAACTTTTATGTTAAGAAATTAATTAAATATATGATACTACAATTTGTCAATCATATAATTAAAATAAAAACCTGGTAAAATAGTATAAAAAAAGTTGCAATTTCTCTTATTTATTTTATCAGAAACCTTTTTTAAGTCAAACAATAAAAAATAATAAATAAATTTTATTATTAATCATTTATAATTTATTATAATTAATAAAAAATAAACTTATTTATTTTATTTACATTTTTTTTTCTTTTGTTAGTTGGGAAAACGAACAGTTGATAGCCCTGTATCCGAAGAAGAAGCACTGAACTTGGTAAAAGATGCATTTACTGCTGCTGGAGAACGTGATATATACACTGGAGATGAAGTAGTATATAACATAATTAAGAAAGATGGAATCAAGTCTGGTGTTGTTCAACTTCGTAAAGATTAAATATTCAAACAAAAATACAACATTATTATTAATTTTTTGTATCAATTCTGTATTTCATGGAACTAATTAAATATTAAATAATTTGAAAAGAAATAAGTTAATTTATTCCCTTTTAACAATAATTAATTTGGAATAATGACCAAGAAGTTAAAGCTTTCATTCCTTAATAATAATAAAAATAAAATTTAAAATAAACTATGATGTTTTAATCTTTATTGCCATAATCTAATAGTGAATACTTTTAATGAAAATAATATCATAAGACCAACTAAGTTTTGATTGTTGGTTTACTTATATATTATGATTCTCCTAAAAGTCATCAATGTTATGTTATTAATATCTTAAATAATTCCATACCAAATTATGTATACATTTTAAAAAATATTCAGATGGCAAATTACATGTTTCAGAAAGCAGAATAATAAATTAAAATAAATTGAATTATTATTTGAATCAGTATTCTATCATACTATTACTTGAATCATTCTATGTTTAATCCTTAGTTTATTTTTTAATTTTTTTTAACAATGAAACAAAATATTTGGTGGATTTGTATCTACTATATAGTAGGTTAACAATGGAAAATATATTTTGATAGTCAATCATTTGTACTACAGTAAAGCTTAAGTGATTTTTGAATATAAAATGTACTTGGTTTTAGCTACACTCTAATATAAAAGTGTGTACTTTTAACACATCATGATACAACCTGTTTATCAAAAGTGTATCGATGTACATATTTTTTTACTAATTGGTTACCTAAAAAGTATTTTATTTTCTTTAATAAGTTGATCTTAATAATTAACTTATACATTTTACATTGGTCCTCCACACAAGTATGTCTCAGTGAAGCCCAGTAATATAGATTTAAATTTAAGTAAAAAAAATAAATAAAAAATACTATTATTAGATTTATGAAAATCAATATAGTATTGATAAATATTATTAGAAAATACGATAATTATGCACTTTTTTCATTGTTTACTTATATCGAAATTGTAACTGAAAACTAATCTAAAAGAGTAAAAAATCTCCTGAATAAGATCAAGTAATTTAGCAAGTAAATAATAATCTAGATATTAAATATATATAAATGAATCCCTATTTCCCTTGGTCATGTCATCATGCGTGAACGGCTGGATCGATTTCGCTAATTTGTTTTTTTGTTGTATTCGTTATTGTCAAGATAGAGATCTCATACGTCCCATATTTGAATAAAGTGTCCCGATACAAGTATAAAAATAACCCTTTTATCCTGTATAATCCATTTCGTATATACCATATTTTAAAAATTAAAATTTTTAATATCATTATGTTTTTTTAAATTTTGTATTATTGATAAACTATAATATCTAAATCAAATGATAATTAATGATATTTGATTATACAGTAAGTTCCGCTTAATGTGATCACTGGTTTATAGAATCATCCGTTTATTAGAATCAAAAATGAAAATCTCAAACCAAATTGTATGCTACTAATGTTAAATTGACCTTTTATTAGAATCACTAAGTACCGGATAATTGAATCACTTTTATGAACAATCTTATCGTTTTTATGGTATCTCAAACTGATTAATTTATAAAAACCATTTTATTTTTGAATTTATCAGTATTATTGTATATCATTGTACATTATGTCAATCAAATAAATAAAAAACATGAATATGATTTTTAATTTAATTTCAGGCTAATATGAATACTAAATTGTTAGATTGTCAAGTTCAATCAAAAATAGATGGCTTTTTTAATTTATTTTAAATGCATTTATTTAATTTTATTTTTATATATTAATATTATTTTATTTTATTCAAAATTTTATTTTATTTCAAGCATAAATGTAGAATCATTAAATAAAAACAAATGTAAAAATCAATAATTTTATTAAAAAATTATAATTATGTATATATGTATTAGAAATTATTAAATATCTAATTATAAATAAATAATTGAATTATAAAAAAAATTGTTGTAATGCTTTTTAGAATCAACCGGTTAATAGAATCAAAATGACCTGTACCAAAGTGATTACATTAAGCGGAACGTTTTCAGCACTTAATTGCTTAAAAATTTTTTTAAGAAGCACCATGTCGGAAAACAAACTGAATGGGTTAGCTATGGCTAATATAAATAAAAAAGAGCAATTCCATGAAAGTGAAATAATAACTGAATTTGCCAGAAATTCACCTAAGAGAATGCAGCTGTCAGAGTGGAGCAAGTGACTGAACACTGAAACCAAAATTATTATTATTATTATAAATTATATATTAATAAATATTTTTAAAACTATACTAAAATGCTTGAATTACGTTTAGAAACTTGGAGGTAGATGGTGGGGGGGGGGTTAAGGGTGAATTCTCATATCCTCTCTTACCTTACTTATCCAAAAAAAGTGTTTAACCCCTCCCATTTAAAAATCTTGGCTACGCCACTGCCTCCCATAGGCTCTATACACACAATTAATTATAGTCGTTACTCGTTATAATTTGACAATTATTATTTAAAATATTATGATCAGCTGATTTGGTTGAAAACAGAGACGTGTCTAGGACCAAACTTCAGGACAGGCCTGGTTATAAAATTAGTTTGTATAGTCATCACATTTTTAAATTTAAGGAACATTTTATTATACTTTTTAAGTCATAAGTATGACGTGTAACATGACGTACAAATATTAAGAACTATTTATAATATGAGTATTTATTTGATAAATTGAATTCGCCGGTTTTTCATTTTGCGAACTCGTCAATTATTTTAGTAGGATCTTTCAACAACTCCAAACTGAACTCTCGATTAATATCAGTGCTGAATTATGAAGATGCGTAGTAGTCATAGATGCTTAGGCGGATATCATGGGGGCTTAGACCCCCCCCCCCCAAATATTTTAACAGCTCCCTAAAAATCGAAACTTTGTTAGAAATTTTATTCGTTGTTTTTATAATTTATTTATAATTATCTGTTCATTTTTTTTGAAAATCGTAAAATAAGAAATAATAAAAAACTATTTACAATAACATTAACAATACCAATTATATAGTTTAGCTACTTGCGAAAGAAGTTTCAATGCAATGAAAAAAATGAAAACTTGGCTAAGGACATTATTGGTTCAAGATAGGTTCAGCAATCTTTAAATACCTACTATAAATTGAAAAAGATTTATCGAAAAGTATAAAAAGGGATGATATTTTGAGTATCTTTGCATATAGACAAATATTTGTTATTAAAATAAAATATTAATTATTTTTAAATATACGTTATTTAGTGTTTTTTTTAATACAATTTAAACATATCTATATTTTTAATGATAATAAGTCTTACTTGTGTATGGGAAGGGGGTGTGGGGGCGAAGCCCTTGCGGGTTATTTTACATTGAATTATTATAGCCCCCCTAAAAATTCAACCAAATGTCTGCCTATGCATAGATATCTGTAAATATGTTTTGATTCTTCACATAGTTGAAAAACTTCTTTCGGCTGATGCTGAACTTACTGTAATAACCAACACACGTTCAATAATCGATTTAATCTCCTCAAATGACTTTCCCATATCGCATATTTCTTTGTAAAATCCATAATATTTTTACAGCCAATGTACATATTTTTTGCTAATCTGCATTGACTCAATACTTTATTCGAAAAATATTTATCATCGTCATAATAATTCGTAAATTTTAAAAAAAAATTATTATTTAAAAAATTGTTTAATGTCGGATTAAATACTGATATTGCAGTTAAAAAATCGGAATTGTCATTAAATCTTTTGTTCATTTCACTTAATATATTATCTACCACTGTAAAATACATAACTCGCATATTTGGAATCGTAATACCATTACTTTTAAAACCAGACGTTGAAGTTATAACATAATCAGTTAATGCACTATCAGTACCGGATTTACAAATTATGTAACCCGGGGCACAACATAATATTAGCACCCCTAAAAGTTACCAATAAAAAATGCATGTGTCCTAAAGTGTATCAGAATACGGATTATTATAGGCAACTTAAATTTTAAATATTTACTCAATAAATAAAGAAATTATATATATATTTAATATTTATATATTATGGAAATGTTTATTTTCAATAAAAAACAAATAATTTAGAACTTAAACCTATATCATAACTTAATGAAGCCTTAGAATCTATAGTAAAGTAAAATAATAATTTTCTTGTTTCTATTTAATAATAATTTTTCTTGATTTTTTTGATGCGAATTCGTTAATGATATCTTTATAATTTATGAACTTCGTGCTCAATGGATATCATTGACAGGTTATTTAATCTTGTTTGTTTTGTAGTTGATCTTAAATATGATTTAATTAGTTTCAGTTTACTAAAACTGCATTCACAAGATGCCGATGTTACGGGTAATGTTAAAAATATTTGATAGGCTGTAAATATGTTGGGATAAGCATCTTGAAGACCATTTTTAAGAATAAAATTTAAAATTTCATGTGAACGAGCATTTATTAATTTATTTTCCAATTGAATTACATGTTGAGTAAAACTATCCAACTCTAAAATTAATTCATTTTTGTCAATGTCTTTTTCATATTTTACACAAAAGTCCATAGCATGTTTTTTTAATTGAATTGTTGGCATACTAAATAAAAACTTTCCATCTAAAAAAGAAAAATCTTTTACAGCTTCATCAATGGAATCAAATCTTTCTTTTAAACCGTTCAAGATTCTATCACAGACGTTTTTCATTAAAATTTTAAATTTATTTTCTTCGGATAATTTTGATGATTCGTCCTCCGCTAATTCACCAGGCATTTTTTTCTTTTTTCTAGCTCGAATCGACGGAAATACCGGTTCTATTGATAGCTTAGATGATTTTTGTTTTGATTCATCAAGTGCTTCTTCAATACCTTCTTCCCTAAATTTCTCAATAAAATGTATCAGACCTTTTAAGTGTTGAGTCGCTATATCTATTGTAATGTTCTGTTTTTGTAAAATCACATTTACTCTATCAATTGCAGTTAATATTTTATTCCATATGATTAACATACATATAAAATTAAAATTTGT